TATTGGAGTTGAATACTGTATATTGGATGGTGGCTACTCTCTATGTTAGTTACCTGTCTACATGATGAATCATGAGTTGAGCATCTGTAAACCAACATGTTGTATCATAGACAATTCAAGACTACTTATCGCTTGTTTTGGAGAATGTTTAGCCTACTTTATTTTTGTTAACGCAAGTAAAGTTATCCTTGTTTTAACTTTGGCGGCTGTGATTGATAGTATGACTATTCAGCGGCACATTCCTTGCTACCTTCTGCTACTCAACTCTAGTCTCCAAAAGGAGATATACTTAACACCTTGCAAGATAGGTTATGATTTTATATAATATTGATTATTTTAACTTGTGAAGCCACAGAGTTGTTTTGAAATTGTGCAAGCTAGAAATTAAATCAATGAATTAATTAAAAATATTAGTTGCAAAACTTGCAACCACAGATAAAATCACAAAACAACCAATCCTAATATAATTAAAAACTAAGTCAATATCCATTTATATCTACATATATACTGCACTCCACATAATATTTCTCATTTCTTGAAGAAATAAATAAACACACCAAAAACAAGGACCTTGCAGCTCTTCATATTTTTATTGGATTCCAATTTTTATAATCAGACCAAAAAACAAGATTTCAGAAGCAATCCAAGCAAATTACATTTGGCTGAATGAAAACTGAACTCTAATAGATTCCCCCATGTTATTTTGTTGTACCATCATCATCTTCCAGATATATTCTTTTACTGATTTTCCGGCCAAGCCAACCAGTCTGAGATTTCCTATAGTCTCTCCTCCAGGTATTAGCCAGGTACAGCCTATTTGATTTTCAACATCAGCTTCCTGTTACCATCAAGCTGGGCACTTCTAGGGAAGCATGAATCAAGTGACAATTATTCTTTAGTAATAGAGTTTGATACCTTTGGTATCTTACATTTTTAGGACTTACAGACTGTTAGTCACATAACTCAATGTAGTTAGTATTTCAAATCCAAACTGTATAATATTTATTCCATTGAGGTAAGTTCCCATAACTAAACACTACAATTTTAACTTGCCATAGCATTTATGAAATGTGATGCTAATAGCTAATAGAAATATTGTTGTGAATTGTGTTTAAAGAAATTTGAAAAATACATTGACAATTGGATAAATATGTAATTGGTATTAGACTCAGACCCAAATACATGGAATCCACAGTTTTACCATATGTCTTGCATTAAATATTTCTGCAGAATTAGAGCCTCAAATAACAATAGGACTTAGACCTAGATGCTACCACAGCACTCTCTGGGTGTCAACATATTGCTTCCAACAACTAAATCCTCACTTTATTGATATTGTAAGGGTGGAAGGCTGAATCAACCTTGAGATCTTCAAGATCGAACTCCGGGCTATGTGCAGAATTTCTCTGCAATACTGCATTCTAATCATGTGCCACCAGGGCTCCTTTTGCAAGACAGCTGTATTGTCTCTGCATGAAAAACAATTCTGTAGATCCTTGGGAGCTATGTAGTATATTTAGAGGGAGCCTATAGAGAATGTAATATACAAATCTAATTATAAAGCAATTGTTTCTTATATTGAATGTACAAATTCCATGTTCTTTGTTCATTTCCCATTTTCAGAGAAGTATTTGTTAGTACTACGGCTCTTTTGTACATTAGTCATTCAATTTACAGTGCCCTTAACCTGCATTGTATCTTTTATACAAAAAAATATTTCCAGTACTTCTAGAAGGTCACTGGGAATTGATTTTTTACATAAATCATTTAGAAAATGTTTCAATAATCCTGAATTTTATATCTCTTTATTTTGTTCACTATGTCATAGCAAGGTGTAATTACACTTCCTGTATAATGTCTGTTTTAGAAGATAATTATTACTTGAATTGTAGTAATACGATTATACTCTTCCTCAATCTAGGCTATGCTATGCTATGGCTTACTTTGACAACAGATTCTAGGTATTCAGATAATTTCATAAGATATCAAAGTCAAGGAAGTTGAATTAATTTATTAAGTTACAATCATATACTTTCCTCCAGTATGTTTGTCTCCTTTTCCTGTCTTGATAGGCACTGCACTAGTTGTTCAGTGGGATCATGTACATCTACAAGATAACTACAATCTGGGCAGTTTCACTTTTCAGGCAACTCTTCTCAATGATGGTCGTATAATTTTTGGCTACAAAGAGGTGAGTCTGATCAGGTAATTAATTATTTCATTTCAGGATAATAACATGTAATAAATATCAATACAAGATCAAATAAAATTTTTCACATGGTAAAAATTCTAGATCATTAGTCTTTTAGTTTCTAGGATCTAAGATTTACAGATAGATACTATTATAAAATATACACCTTTGGCTTCTGTATGAGGAAGAGAGTGCTGTGAGATGTAATGGAAAGTAAAGTATCTTTTGTATTTTAGGCATAACCATTGAAACAGAGATAGATGGCCTGTGCTCATCCAGTTGTTGCTGAATAACAAATACCAGCATTCCTAATGAGGATTCCCATTTGTAAATGATGCTGGGATGATCAACATCTAGAACACATCAGGTTCTCCACTATTAATTTTACACATCACAGGTCAATTGTTTGAGTCTTAATGCACATGTTTGGACTGGCTCTACTGCCTAACCTTCTATTCATGTGCCTATCAAACAGCAAATGTTTTGTTAAAAAATTAGAAAATGTGGGACTATTGAGGTGACAATGTGACATTACATTAGAATGTTCCACACTTTTTGTTTCTGCCTTTATCCATCCAGCTCTGATGACTTACCATTTCGCAGTTGCTTGTAACACACTCTTGAAACACATTGCATTATCTCACCTCATTTGTTAGAACATACCTTGTTCTGCTCTGGGAAATTTTCACTGGATGAAAGAACTATGGATTTTATTCTTGACAAGGAAAATAAAATGGATGCAAACAAATATTATCACAAGCATCAGAAATACTAATGTGCTAGAGTGAGCTTCTGGTCTCCTCATCCTCTGTTCTTGGTTATAAATGGGTTAAATGAATCTGATAGTTAATATAAAGCTTTAAAAGGTAAACATATGACATTTTTATATTGGGGAAAACATCTTAGGTATTCACTTCTGCTATCTGGATATTATAGTAATAGTAGCTTTATTCAGTGATCCTGGAAGACAAAAAATAAACAAATGAAGTCAGTAGGGATATCAATAGGGACAAAGAATTGGACTAAAACACTAGTTTCATATCCTGATTTGATGACTCTTATTAATATAAATCAGTTCTCACTTAAACAACTCAGGAAATATATGGTGTTAAATAGAAATATTTCTCATGTTGGGGAGGAGGATCCAACGTCACAACGATACGGACATGCGGTCTTGATGCTCTGAGAACACTGCCAATACGTTTGTTGCTGGGTGATCCAATCGGACCTAAACCATCCCATAGAGATGGTGAACAGGAAGAATATATCTTGCTGATCTCAGGGACACCGCAAAGTCCCTGATCGATCCAAGAGAAGTTCTTCAAGTTGGCGATAAAAAGTCCAGCCCCAGGCTGATGAAGTTGGGACAGCTTGGTACAGAAGGGAAGCAGAAAGAGAAAGTATGTCCATCTGGTGAGGAAACTTTACTGTTTTGGAAAAGACTGCCCCCCCAATTTTTTTTTAAGTTACATTAAATTGAAAGCGGAAGAAAATAAGCGGCAAAATTAACCTATATTGGATTGCTTTGGATAGTGTGTTTCTTTTTCTTCGTAATTTTACCTTGTGGATTGAAGTGCTCGCAACTTTTTTCTTTAAAGAGAACGGATCAGTTTTTCTTCTTCCATCTTTTTTATGTTTTATTTTTCAACCTATGGATTAAAGTCTTCTTTATTTCAACAAGGACTTTTATTACTTGCTATTAATTCTATTTAAGAACTCTGTTTCTTTTAAGTTTGAAATAACATTAGAGAGTGGGAAGCAATACTGCCACTTGGAGGCTGGAGGCTTGAGTTTTTGAAACAATGTACTTTCCCTTTTCCTTTTGATCTCACTGACCTTGTAACTTGAGGCCTGGCAACTTGTTTATAGAAAGTGATAAGAAGCAAGGGCACGAATTATTTTTACATGTGCACTTTGAGAGTCTTATTGGCAGTGGGAGAGAAAAAGAAACAGAACTTTCTTTTTTGAAGATCATAAATGAACTTGTGTTTAAGCTAATTTAATATAAGAAGCCTTGAAAGCCAGAGTGGCAGTATCTGCCAGCTTGCCAAAATGGCACAATATTCAAAAGAAACAATAACTTTGCAAAACATCTTGGATGGAATTCAAAATTTATTAGAAATAACAGAGAGAATTGAGAAGAAGATGGGGAAAATAGAGTTTATAACAGCAAAAAATGATGGGCTCAGAGTCACAAAAATTGAAAGGGAAAATGATTATAAAGATAAGACAACTGATTACTTTACCAGTGGAGTGAACGTGGTTGAAAGTGGGAAAAGGGAAGTATGGAAAAGGGAATTAGATTGACAGAGACTATATCCCGGATTTCAAGGCATGGAAGAAGAAAAAAGAGGAAAAACAATGGATTTAAGGAGAGAGAACTTCTCAGAAGCAAGATTGACAACCAAAGATAAGCTGATTAAGATAGCAGATGGAGGGCATCGAGATTACTTAAGTAATGCTACAAGCAACAAGCTGCGGAGAGAAGTCCACAAAAATTTTATCAAGGAAATAAATAGAAGATCAATTCCAGAAATGACAAAAGAAATAAGACTGTATGATTACTGGAAGGATACAGGCTGATATATGAAAGTTAATAATAAAAAAATAGTTAATTTTAGTAATTAGTGATTAGTAATTTAATTATTTCTAGAGTGCTATGTTAAATAAATAATTGATAAGGATAATAAGGTACATACATGAGTTGGTTTGATGAGAGGAAATTTGATATAAAGGAAAGGAGGATTAGAAACCTTGTTATCAAACATAATTATTTTTTACTTAGAACATGCTATAAAGGGGTAATATTAGATGATATTAGAAATAATTAATGAAATGCTACGATGTCCTTGTGTTTTTTAATTTTGGACTATTTCATTCAAAAGGATGTTAAAACAACCACAGTCAAATGAGAAGTGTGGTATGTTGATAGTAAGATATTTAAAGATTTTTGATTTAAAATACATGATGTGATTTGAATTATAAGTAATGACTGTGAAAGAGATGCATGACAGTTATTTGTAACCAATCGACACACTTCTGCAATATGATAAGTGATTAATACTTTAGTAATCTTTAGAAATTTTATTATCAATCATAATTAATTCTTACTTAGAACATGTTATAAAGGTGTAATATAAAGATTATATTAGAAATAATTAATGAAATGTCATTATGTGGTTGTGTTTTCAATTTTGGATTATTTTATGCAAAAGGACATTAAAACAATTATAGTCCAATAAGAATTGTGGGATGTTGATAGTAAGATATGGAAAGACTTTTGATTTAAAATATACAATGTGATATGAATTATAAGTAATGACTGTGGAAGAGATGCACGAAAGTTATTTGTAACCAATCAACACACTTCTACAATATGTAACGAAATATAATTTTATTTTATATTTTTATGTTGTGTTTGTTTAATCAAAAATAAAAAAAGAAATATTTTTCATGTTTTCCTTTTAGTTCAATTTGATGGAAGAGACTTGGCTTGGGAGTTAACATTCTACATTTATTTAAACACAAGATAGCCAAAACTATTTATGATTATCCTATTTTTTTTTTAATGGAAGAATCATCTGTAAGCAGTGTGCAGCTTCCTTGGTGATTAAATCCCTAAAGAAGACCTATGGCTAGACCATTTCTCATTTATTTTTTAAACCATACTTCTAAGGCAATCCTACCCTTGAAAATAGTTGAAGAATTGTTCCTTCCCTTAAAGAAATTTCCCATGTTCCATCCTGTTCACCTGCTTAATTTTAATGCTCAAGTGACACTTAGGTTCACCCTGGTTTGGAACCAATTATGACCAGAAGCTTTCATGGACAAGTTTTCATTCTCCATCTCTCATGTGAGAAGGAAGTCATATGAGCCCAAAGCAGATAACAGAATAACAGAGTGGATAGGGACCGTGGAGTTCTTTTAATCCAACACCCTGCTTAGGCAGGAAATTATACACCACTTCAGACAAATGGTTATCCAACATCTTCTTAAAAGCTTCTCGTGTTGTAGCATTCACAACTTCTGGAGGCAAGTTGTTCCACTGATTAATTGCTCTAATTGTCAGGAAATTTCTCCTCAGTTCTAAGTGCTTCTCTCCTTCATTAGTTCCCACCCATTGCTTCTTGTCCTAGCCTTAGATGCTTTAGAGAATAGTTTGACTCCCTAATCTTTGTGGCAGCCCCTGAGATATTGGAACACTGCTATCATGTCTCCCCTAGTCCTTCTTTCTATTAAACTAGATATACTCAGTTCCTGCAACATTCTTCTTCATATGTTTTAGCCTCCGGTCACCTAATCATCTTTGTTGCTCTTTTCTGCATTCTTTCTAGAATCTCAACATCTTTTTTTACATTGTGGTGACCAAAACTGGATGCAATATTCCAAATGTTTCCATTATAAAGCGGTATTAACATACCATGTGATCTTGATTCTATCCATCTATCCCTCTGTTTATGCAGTCTAGAACTATGTTGGCTTTTTTGACAGCTGCTGCACACTGCTAGCTCATATTTCAATGGTTGACCACTAGGAGTCCAAGATCCCTCTAATAGTTACTACTATTCAGCGAGATGCCACATATACTGTACCTGGGCATTTTCTTTTCTTGCCTAAAAGAACCTTACTTTTTTCACCATTGAATTTCATTTTGTTAGGTAGTGCCTAATGTTCAGTTCTGTCAAATTGCTTCTGTATCTTAAGCCTCTCTTACAAGGGATAGCTTGGTATTGTCTACAAATTTGATAGGTTTCCCATCTATCCGCTTGTCCAAATCATTGGTGAAGTTGTTGAAGGGTACTGGGCCTAAAACAGGACTTTGGGGACCCCGCTGTATACTTCCCTCCATGTAGATGCAGCTCCATTGAGGACTACACGTTGAGAGTGGTTGGTCAGCCTGTTACGAATCCATCTGGTGGTGATGCTGTCTAACCCACATTTTTCTATTTTATCTACTTACTGAAGTCCAAGTAAATTAGCGTGGTCCTAATAATTATAAATAGGTTGAAGGGATATGTGAATGTACTTCTTCTATAATATTCTGTAGTGTTAGTTAAGATTATATAAAATTATATAAAATAATAGGGAAATTGGGCCATTTAATCCTAGAAGTCAACATTGCAATTTTTTGTTTTGTGTCCATCTCATAAAACAAGAAAGTTTCCTTGTTCTCTGCTTCAAGTCTAGTTTCTTTTTAGTCTTTTTACCACCCTGCCCCACTAACCCCAATCTTTCCTCCAGCACATTTTGCAAATACAACAAATAGCTTTTACAGGGTTGATGTCTCATTTACCTGCCTAAAGAGCAGGTAAAGCTTTCACATTAAGCAAAATTAGAAAAATGTAGGGAGCAATTTAGTACTGACATTAATTTGATTAAGAAAGAAACAGAAACAGTTGTACTGCTGAACATTAGCATAGCTTAGAAGCCTTTCCATTGTTTACCCCAAATTAAAAAAAAATCTTGAAAAGCAAATTACTTCCAAATCAGCCTTTCTTTGGATGTTTAAAATGCAGAGACAAATGCCCCCCTTAATTTAGACAATCCAAATAGGTTATTGTTTTGCTGTTCCCCAGAATTAAGAGAATTTCTATAAAATATTCAGTAACAGAAATGGAATATGTTTCCCATCATATTTATTTTCTCTGTCTTTGTGCAGAATTCTATTAGTGCTCATAAAACAACATTGGGGAGGGGGGAAAGCTGTTTACACAATAAGCACATTTAATTGTTTGAGAAATATATTTATTGTATTTCAAGTTTTTATGAGCTTTGTTCCTAGAGTGATCTGACAATGAAGTCTATGGCTGACAGACTTGAAAACATAATTGCTGAGGTAGTTACAGGAAATTGGTGAGCAGGTCTGCCAAAACTTTGAATATTAGCTTCAAGTCACATCTCATTGTGTACTTGCTTATTTCATATTGTTTTCTCATTCCCAAATGAATGTACTCTTTTTTGAAAGATCAGTTTAATGTTGTATAGACAATCAGTGGAGAGCAGTTATAACTAAACACCATTTCTTATAAAAGCAGACCCCCACTAGCAAGTAAAGGGAGATATAATGGTATGTGGAAATGATCTTGAGAGACAGGAAAACGAGCCTGATATTAGCCATTCTGGTAATCCAAACAAGCACAGTATAAATACTAGCTATGGTTTTGTTGTAAGGTTACATTAACACAAGTTTGCAGCACTCAAAATGTTCCTCCCCTCCTTTCCTTTTACTCTATATAAAGCAAAGGAGGATCGGGTTACCATATCTGAACTTTGTTCAATATTTCATTACATTTTATAATATAACATGTTAGTGATAAATAGCTGCTATCAAAAATAGATTGTTTGAAAAACTATCTCTTTTTTTCCCTTTTTTGGCAGATTCCTGTCTCAGTGACCCAGATAAGTTCAACTAATCATCCTGTTAAAGTGGGGCTGTCAGATGCATTTGTGGTTCTCCACAGGATCCAGCAAATTCCTAGTATGTTGTTACTGAATGTAGCATGAGCCAATATAATTTATTGTGAGAGAAAAATAGATTAAAGGAGATTAAAAATGTTTTATCTAAACAAAACTAGAAGTTTTATTAGGTTCAGATCACTAATTTAAATATATATATATTTTGGCTTATAACTCCCACTGTGACTCTATATCACTTTTTCTCAACTATTCAAAAAGTCCCTCAAGATTCTCTGTAGTTCAGAGCAACTAATTTTACAGAATTTTGGTTATTTCTACTGAAGGAACAATGAAGAATATATAATAAGAGATTATCACTGTAATAATCATTTATTTTGTTCATTTATTTATAAAATGGAATTTTTACTTGTAGGATTTCATATGTACAATTTCTTTATTTCACTAAGAGAGCTTAGAGCAGGGGTGTCAGACTCATTTCACTGAGGGCTTCATCTGGGTTGTGTTTGACCTTGGACAGATGAGAGGTGGAAGTGGCTGGGGATGGGGATGGGCGTGGTCATGGTGGGCATGACAAAGGTAGGCGTTTGATACAAGCTCAACATGCATTTTTTTTCTCTTTGTATTCAAAACACTATTCCAGACAAAGGGAGATTTACTTTCTGGCACAAATAGTCTCACTTCCATAATGTAGAAATTAAAGACATGTAGAGTCCAAGCTCCTGTGGGATTTGACTCTTTTGTATTGGAGTAGAGCATAAATGAACTGACAATTTCTCCAGATGTCTCTAAAAATTGTCCGTCCAACAATCTTTCAATCTTTGTTATTATCCGTCAACAGTCCGTCAACAAGCGTTGGCAATCATGTTGGCAATCCTATTTTTGTCAACAGTCACATGAGTAAGTGCTGCTGACTTTTGTCCAAACCAGTCCCTTAGGTTTTGTTAAGCCATGATGTTCTTCTTCTGCCTGGACCTCGTTTGCCTTCAATCTTTCCCTGAAGGATTAAATGAAGGATGCTGTATTTTTCTGGATGTTGCATCACCTGTCCAAAATAGTCTAACTTTTGCTTTTTAATGGTTTGATGATTTCCCTTTGCTTTCCCAGGCGGCTTCTCATCTCCTCATTTTTGATTTTGTCAACCTAGCTTATACGTAACAGCTGTCTGTAAATCCACATTTCAAATGCCTCCAGTTTCTTCAAGTGGTTTTTTGTTAGAGACCAACTCTCTACTCCATAGAGCAGGATATAAAAGATGTATTATCTGACAAACCTGATTTTCAGTGTTAAGCTTATGTCATGATTATAGAAGACCTTTTTCATTTTGAAGAATGCTGTTCGAGCTCTCTCTATCCTTGTCTTTACTTCACTAATCATGTCCCAGTTTTCATGTAAATTAAAACCAAGATACATGATCCTTTCAACTTTTTCCAGTGGTATTTCTTACTAATTTATCAGTGGTAAGTTAATGGGTTGATTGCTGATGACCATGATCTTGGTTTTTGAGGTGTTAAGCTTCAAGCCATATTTTTCAAATATTTCTGGGATTGTTGATGAGGAGCTGAAGGTCTTCATTCTTACTGACAAGCAGAATTGTATCATCAGCATATCTTAAATTGTTGATCTGAACATCATTTACTTTGAGGCCAGCATCAATGTTTTCCAGTGCTTTGTTGAAAATTGACTCAGAGTAAATATTAAACAACAGCAGAGACAAAATACAGCCCTTTCTGACCCCTCTTCGTATTTCTGCATCATCTGAGTATTTTTGGCCTAGTCTCACATTTGCTACCTGATGCCAATATAGATTCTTTATGATTCAGATGTCTTTGTCATTTAGTCCCACTTGTTTCAAGATTTGTAATAGTTTGCTGTGTCTTATTTTATCAAATAGTTTTTCAAAATCAATGAAGCACATGTAAACATTATGATTGACATCTTTACAGTACTGTACAAGAACTTGAACACTGAATAGGGCAACTCATGTACCAAGATTACTGAAACCAAATTGTGTGTTACTTAGACACTCCTCAATTTTGTTGTATATTCTTGTGTGAATTATTCTCAAAAACATTTTCAGGCCATGACTCATTAAGCTTACTGTTCTGTATTCGGTACACTTCTTTGCATTTATTATTGGGGGGATTGTCACAAAAGTTGACTTTAGCCAATCATTTGGTATCTTTCCTGTTTCATATATTCTATTGAAAAACTGCAATAAAAATTTCTTCCCATTGTCTTCCAGCAATTTTAAAATTTCTACTGTGACTTTTCTTGTTTTTGCTATTTGTCTTGCATGTTCAACCTCCTCCATAGTGAGGTTGGGTCCAGTTGTTATAGTTCCCATATCCATATAGAGCCGAGGTGGTGCAGTGGTTAGAGTGCTGTACTGCAGCCACTTCAGCTGACTGCTAACTGCAATTCAGCTGTTCAAATCTCACCGGCTCAGGGTTGACTCAGCCTTCCATCCTTCCGAGGTGGGTAAAATGAGGACCCAGACTGTGGGGGCAATAATGCTGACTCTGTAAACCGCTTAGAGAGGGCTGAAAGCCCTATGAAGCGGTATATAAGTCTAACTGCTATTGCTATTGCTATTGC